CGTCGCCCTGCAGCACGGCCCCGGCGCACTGCCAGCAGTCCTTATCGGTTGGGCCGTTGCACGTGGCGCAGGCCGCGTCGCAGGGCAGGCATTCAACACCGGCACGGTACTGGCCCGCCGGGCAGCCGGACACGCAGGTCCCCACGCCGGGGGCCGCCTCGACAAGCTCCAGCCCCGTGCCGCAGCCGGTGCACTGGTCGGCCCCGCCGCCGGCGCACGTCCGGCAGCTGACGTCGCACAGCTGGCACGACTCGCCGTTGCTGAACATCCCGGCCGGACAGTCGGCGATACACTGCCCGTTGGGGCCCAGCACGAGGCCGGCCCCGCACACCAGGCAGCCGTCCGCCCTGCAGGAGGCGCACCCAGGATCACAGGGGACGCATGCGGCGGTGGCGCCGGCCGCCGGCGCGGGGCCGGACCAGCGGAAGCCGGCCGCACACACCAGGCACCGGTCGGCCGCCTGGGCGCACAGGGCGCAAGACCCATCGCACGCGGCGCATCGGCCAGCGCCGACATACTCGCCCGGGGCGCAGGTGCTGCCGCACAGCGAGGGCGTCGAGCTTTCGGTCGCCAGGAATACCAAGTTGCTCCGGCAGGTGGTGCAGGCAGCGGAGCCGCTGCAGTCCACGCACGACGGATCGCAGGAAAGACACCGGTTGGTGCCGGCATCCAAGAAGTCCCCCGGCTGGCAGGCGTCGCAGACATCCCACTGGGTGTCGCCGCACCGGAGGCAGCCAGGCACCGGGCAGGGGATGCACAGGCGCTGGGCCGGATCGGCGGTCATGCCGGCCGGGCAGCGGGGCACACACTGGCCCGAGTGCAGCGCCTTGCCCTCGGGGCAGGCGCTGCACGCGCCGGGGTCGCCCGGGAGGTGGCACTCGCTGCAGGAGGAGTGACACGCGTGGCACTGGGAGGGCAGCGGCTGGGCCACGGGCAGAGCCATCCCCGGCGGGCAGGCGTGGCAAATGAACTGCCCCGACCCGCCGGGGTCCAGGTGGCAGCCGGCGCAATCCATCTGACATTGGCACAGGCCCAGGGCCAGGTCCGGGCGCAGGCCCGGCGGGCAGGTGCTCACACACCCTTGCGGGTCGTCGGGCAGGGCCAGCCAGCAGGCCGTGCAATCCTCCGGGTCTGGCCCGGTGCACGTGGCACACACCTCGGCACAGGGGAGGCAGTCAGGGCCGAAGGTCCCGCCCGGGCAGCGGTCCATGCCGAGGCCCAGCCCCGTGGGCGTGAAGCCGGGCGCGTGGAGCATGAGATGCACCTGCTCCAGGGCAGTCTGCCCGGCCAGGGGCCCGCCCAGCGGGGTGACCGGCTGCAAATGGCCCGGCAGCCGGATCGGGCCCATGTTCGAGGGCCAGGAAAGGGGGGCGTCGTATGTCACCTTTGTGGGCTTCCGCAGGACGCATATCCGAGCGCCGGGCGGGCAGCCCAGCACCGAGAGCCAGATGGCGTCCGGGGTGACCAGGACCAGGCCCCCGGGGAAGCCGGGCAGGCCCAGGTCCAGGGGCAGGACCTTGTGCCAGCCCACGGACGAGGGCAGGTTGGCGAGGTCCAGCGCCGGGCCATGCAGGTCCGAGGTCCGGCCATGGAGCGGCGCGCCGCCGATTGGTATGTGCACCGCCCGCCAGACCACCTCGTCCAACGCGCTGCCCGGGGTCAGCCCCGTGAGGAAGAGCTCGGACGCGCTGTCCCGGCCGGGGGTGGGGACGACCACCGGCTCGAGGCGGTTCGTGGCCGGGTCCTGGGTCACCGGGCCCAGGAGGGCCGCCTCGGCGCGCGGGTCCTCCGATTGCAGCAGGTCCACCGCCAGGACGGCCAGGTTGGGGAATTGGTCGGCGGCGTGGAAGTCGGCCATGCGGGCCGCCACCCGGGGCCGGCCCTGGTAGCCGGGCCAGGCGAAGCCCGCCATGCGTGTGTCCTGCTGGACCAGGCGAAGGTGGTGCACGGTCGGCGGGCGCAGCGACATGTCCACCAGCACCATGCCTGCGGAGCTCAGGGAGGCGGCAAACGCGCTGTCGGACACCCGGTGCAGGCCGGTGCACGTGCCGATAGACAGATCCTGCTTGGTGAAGCTCGCGTCGCACCGGCTCTGGCCCTGGGTGGCAGGCGACGAGCAAGTGGCCCAGACGATGCTCAGACCACCCCCATGGCAGAAGGCCTGGCCCACCAGGGGCAGCCCTTGGGCCGGGGCCAGCACAAACTCCAAGGCCCCATCCACCTGGAAGTCGGCGGCCGGATGCGAGGAGGGCAGGCGGATGCTCCGCAGCGGGGACAACTGGTTGGTTTGATGGACGAGGTGCAGGGCATCGGTCCTGCCTTGCGAGAAGCTGAGATAGCCACTGTGCGGGGTGCCGGTGGCGATGGTCATGTCCAACATTGGCTGGCCACCCAGCGAGGCGCTGAGCGTGGTCGGCATCAGGATGTTCATGGGCTGAGTGGGGTCGCTATCGCCCAGTGTGAAGGGGAAGAGTGTGGACTGGTGGATCGGGCTGGCCCAGGTCTCCTCCGGCAGGCAGAAGTCCCCGTTGATGACCCAGTCCTGGGGGCAGGTCTCCACGCAGGCGCTCTTCCAGGGGGAGAGAACCTGCAGCAGGAGTCCCGGCTTGCACGACAGGCACATGTCACCAGCGCACGCGCTGCACATGTGGCCTGGGCAGGGCTGACAGAGGACGTCTGTTGGCGGCGGCCCGCGGCCGGGCGAGACGACCAGCGGGGCCAGGGACATGTGCCGGGTGGGGGTCCGGGCCGGGGGGCCACATTTCGGTCGGGCGCGCCGCATTCACAGACACGCGTGCACATGCATGCGCACGCGATGGCATGGGCGCATGTCAGGCGCGGGCGCACGCAAGCACGTGCACGCAGGGGCGTGTAGAGGGGCACAGGGGCGTGCACATGCATACACACACGCACATATCAACACACACGCACATATCAACATACACACACAGCAGCATACACACACAGCAGCATACACACACAGCAGCATACACACACAGCAGCATACACACACAGCAGCATACACACACAGCAGCATACACACACAGCAACATACACACACAGCAGCATACACACACAGCAGCATACACACACAGCAACATACACACACAGCAACATACACACACACACGCACACGCATGAGCGCCAGTGGCAATCGGTACCAGTCGGCATCCACGAATCGGCACCAAGGGATACCGCAAGGCGAACGGCCGCCAGCCGGCACACCCAGCCGGCGAAGAGGGACAAGCACAAAGGTCAGCACACGGCATGGCCCGAGGCGGAGGAAAAAGCCGCGGCCCCCACGCGCCCGAGAAACACACCGCCCGGCCCGGCGAGGGGGTCCAAGTAGAAGCCACGGTCACAGGCAGCACACAGGCGCAAGTGGCTATCCTGCGGGCTGAGGACATGGCCGGGGGCGCACTGCCAGCCGAGCACGGAGCTCGGCGAGCAGTCAATCGACCGGTCCACAGGGCACAGAAAGTCCTCCTGGCTGAAGTAGGCCCGGGTGTTGTCCACCAGGGCCAGGCTCATGGTGCTGGGGCCGGTGCGAAGCATGGCCGGCTGGAAGTGCCCCACCTGGATCGCGCTCGAGGTCGGCAGCAGCACCGGCATCAGGCTGCCCAGCTGGCCGGTGGCCGTCAGCTCCAGGCGCCACAGGCGCGGGCGGCCCGGCTCCGGCTCCGCGGCATTCAGCCAGTAGAGCTCCCGCACCGGGCCCGGGGTCTCGGTGGACGACACCCCCAGGATCCGCCCCTGGAGCGTGGCGTCCGCCGGGTGGGCGAAGGAGGCGGCCGGAGTCAGGGCAGCCGTGCCCAGCATGCTGCCGACCACGCCCACATACACCTCCCAGGTGCGGTCGTCGCGCAGGAGCACCAGGTCATCGACGCCCGTGGCACCGGGCGCCCTGCTGGACAGGTGCCCGGGGAAGAGCTTCACGATGCCCGCCTGGTCCGGCCCCATCGAGTACCTCTTCACCGACACCTCGTCGCCGGTGACCTCCAAATGTGCCAGGAGCCGGCCCTGCCAGACGTAAAACCCCAGCCCGGAGCCTGTGGCGGCCGCGGGCACGGCCTCCACCTGGCTGGCCGTCAGGCCGTCCAGGTCCACCTCCTCGAAGGACACATCTTCTGGCTCGGCGGCCAGGTGCACCACGGTCAAGCTGTCATCCTCGATGGCCAGCAGGAGGAAGACCTCATCGGGGCCGATGGCGAGCCCGGCCAGGAAGCGCAGGGGCGAGGAGTAGAGCACGCTCCTGCTCTCGGTCAGCAGTTCGACATAGGTCTGCCCGACGACCAGAAGCGCCGGGTCGCGGCCGGCCGTGGTCGACGGGATGAGCATCGGCGTGCCGTTCACGTTTTCCAGCGACTTGAAGGGTTCCATGTTCCACTGGGGGTAGAGGGGATTGAAGAAGGGCCCGAGGCGGAATTCCGGCGCCGCGTCAAAGTCCATGGACAGCTGGGAGAAGACGTCCACCTTGGAAGAGGGGTAGATGGGGAAGCGGGCCAGCAGGGTGGCCGGCGGCTCGGCCAGCCCGAGCGGGCCGGCCTGATGGAAGCGCCAGTCCTTGAACAGCAAGAAGGGCGACATGCAGAGGTGCGTGCTCGCACCTGTGCCGAGCACGACGTGGTGCGCCGCGCCAAGCACCAGCAAGAGCAGGCACACCAGCAAGCCCGGCGGCGGCACCGGGGCCCGGCGCACCCCGACATGCATGGTGCCAGGGGACTGAAAGCGGGCGGGGGGGGGG